TCGTAAGCTTGCAGGCTTACCGCTACGCCATTGGGACTAATTATTTGGAATTTGATCTATTACAAATTAGTTATTAGTAACTGTATTGCTACAGTAAAGCTACCATCTATAATTTGATGTTTCTGAATATGTTAAAATAACAAACCCGATTAAATAAATGATGCAAACACTGAGGTCCGACATGGCCAGGTGGTTAGGCGCTTGACTCGCAATCTTAGGGTAGCGGGTTCGAATACCCGTCCCACCAAACATGCTCACCCTTTCAGCCGTAAGGGCGTTATAATGTTACGGTCAATCCCACTATTCATTGGTGAAAGAGTAGCCCAAGAGTTGGCAGTGGGTGGTGATGACTAGCTGCCTTCCCTCTAGTCTTACACTCCTAAATTAGGGACGGCTAGCGCAGATAGCCCTCGTGTAGCTTTGCGCGAAATTCAAAAACAAACAATCAATTCGTATTTATGTTTCGACTTGATAATTTTGATGAACATATTAGTGTGAATTTTGTTTGTCAAGTTCCATGCCGACCTTATGACCATACTGTTACTTATAAATTTATTAAAAGAAGGAGTAATAAAAAATATTTAGCTAGATCTAATTAACGTCAGTAGTTTGTTAAGAATACATTTAGATGTTATGAAGCACGCGGCGCTAGTAATAATGTCATTAAATTGGTCTGAATGACCTTGATCGAGTTAACTTTTTAATGTTATCATCCATACCATCAACCTAAGCATGTTCATTGGAATAATACATGTGTTATTTAAATGAGTTACTTAGAGACATCGTTATATAAAAAATATATTAAGAGAAACAATTTTAGCTCTTGTGCATTCTATTCAACAGGCTACGAAACACGAAGATGAAACTAAAAACATCATCAGAATGCTAAAACACTGAGAAATTGCTTCACTGAATAAATAATCTTGGGGTGTAAAAAATGCGATGTTCCTAATGTCACCGACAGGTGACGCAATATTCTTGTTTAAGCAAATTGATTAACGAATTGTACGTGAGTTTCATTGGTTTGATTATCGAGCAAAGCAACGTACATGAGTTAACAAACAACGATAACACAAACAACAAAAGCAATCAGTCTCGCCGAAAATGCCCTATCTCCACATTATAAAAATGCTTCAAAGTAATTCAGATCTGAACTAAATTTGGGGAGGACTGTCTCATACTGTCTTACCATCTTGTGTAAAATTTTTGTATGCATTGGTCTATTACTTTTCGAGATACTCGCGCGAAAACACAGACAGACAAACAGACACACACACACACATGGATCCGATAGCAACACCCTCAGGCGAGGGTAAATAAAGTAATATCATGCAATCTTTCAAACAGTCGTACCCACTTGACCTTATTGACTAATCGATTCAGTTTAGAGCCATATGTATTGTGAAGAGAACATTCTGGAAAGAACGAGCTCGTGTGATTGAATATCACTATATGAAACACTATTAGCGTTTCCAGCGTCCTTGAGTGGGCTTTATTGATGTATGTTGTACTGAGACACAGCCTTCCATCTGGTATTATTATTATTTATTCAAACTTATAACCATTCCTGACTAAATATATAATTACACCACCGGTCTCTTCTAAACTCATGTCATGCTGGTTAAGTTTCATAGTGAAGGGCAGTGGCGGACTTGGCCCCCTTTGGAAGCACTAGCAAAAGCTTATTAGGGGCACTCCATTGGTGACCTAATAATACGTGCGAAGTATATCAAATTGCAATGTATATTGTACTTATATTTTATCAGACTATGAGTGAGGAATCCATAACTTGCAAAGAAGAGATAAAGCTCTTGATATAATAATTTTATGTTTATTTTAAAGACAGCCCCTAACTCTTAATTTAAAATAGTAAACACTTATGATATTGGCCTGTTCTGTGGTATATGAAACTCATGTGTAAAAGTATAATTACTCGTAGTGATCTGGTGTGCATAAAAATTGAAACACACGTACACTTTATATATATATATATTAGTATATTCCTGTTCTATATGTACATAACACATACATGAAATAACACATATATAAGTTTCCAGCGTTTGTGTGTATCAACTGTATTTTAAAATCTGAATTCATTACACCAGCAGCCGTTTGAGTTCATCAGATAATTTTGAGAGCATGTGTATAATTTCACAGTTTAGTGTTCTAGCTAGAATGCTGGTTTCAGTGCTTATGAGCATGAAGGCTTCGAGATGCTCAGCTGTCAACATGCTCCTCAGTCTTGTTTTTATTATCTTTAGCTTCTAGAAACATCTCTCACAGTGGAATTAAGAGATGTAAAATGCCAGAAGAAAGTGATACACTTTATGTAAGTTATTATATGCTTTTGAATGTATCATGTAGTTCTCAATCAACTGAAAAGCACACACTAAAATTTTCCACGAAGTAACGTCCTCGCGTTCTACTCTGTGGTCAGTCTTAGATGCATCAACGATGTCACCTCCTCCAAGGCAGTGTACTGGTCTTCTAAACTTTGACTTGCAAATTGTTCCAGTCCAGATCTTACTTTGTAAGATGTAGGTGTAGCATGAGCTGGCCTATCTTATTCAGTGAACCAGCAGACAGGCCTTTTTATGTTAGTAAAACTCTTTGGGTCAAAACATTGCATGTCAGCATACAGTTGACCATGTTGTGCAAAACGTCTCGTCAGACTTCCTATTACTTAATCAAATCCTACGTTGAAAGTATCAATCCTGTATGTAGTCATAGATGCTGTAGTTGTATCACCTTCTGCAAGTCTTTCTTCATCATACTTAACTTTTCGCTTTCTCTTCCTGCAGATAGACAACTCAGCTGACACCTTGACTTCATCACATTCCTTAATATTTTGCAGATCTGGCCAATCAACATTTTACAAAATTTTGTTAATTTGTATGACAAATTTGGCTGCTTTAGCTAAAATGCTTTGCATTCCGTCCCTCAATGCTCTCAGTTGAACTGTATACTTTTGTGTTTACCTCCAAGCATGAAATAAATCAAGTCCACTTGTTAAAAAGCATTCTAATACAGGTGTGATGGAAAATGGACATGATTGTGTGAGCCGTCATAACTGTTTCATATCCCAAAAAGCCCTCTAGCCTCTGTTTTCGTGGCAGTATCGTGTGAATTGGAATGCTGTAATATAACCAGCTTTAGGGGGGTCTGTAGGTGACCCGAACACAGCTGATAATGAATTTGATTTTTCTGACCAACGTGTTTCACCTATCAACTTAATTATCTTCAATTTGCCTGGCCCTAACTTGTTCTCAACTTCCTTTTTCCAGATATACATTCGCTTGTAGGAACTTCTGGAGAAACCTACAATAGATTGAATAATAATATTGCTGCAACTCAACTAGATTGAGTACGTGTGTATAGGGTGTATGTGTATGTGTGTACGTGAACGTTTGTATCCATGCCAGAAGGAGCTTTGCCTGAAAACCACTGTACTGCTTATGGCAAGCGAATGCTATATCTATGCTGTTTGAAACACTTGTTGATATTAACATTTTAATCTCCAAGTACGCTTCTTACTAGATCAAACCATCCTTGTCCACCAATGTGTCTGTGGGAGGGAACGAGAGCCAGCAACCTTTCAGTTAAATTCGATGACGAGGAACCCACTTTGAGACTAATAATGCTTGGAGACGGCTTGAATGGGTAATGAAGAAAACCTTTAATATAAGTTTAACATAACAACAAATGTGAGAGATGTTTCTAGAAGCTAAAGATAATAAAAACAAGACTGAGGAGCATTTTGACAGCTGAGCATCTCTATGCATAAGCAAAATTCTAAAAATAGACCAGTGGTTTGCAGAATGCGACGCATTTAGCATTTAAAACACTTTCCTCAAGAGACTATGAATGTGTTTTGTATATACCTGTGTCAAGGCCTGAAAGAAAGGGTAAAAATATTACCTGTGTATTGCAGGTCTAAATGTATTCAGTGTTTATTATAGTGTTCTACATCAATTTGACCATTTGGGATAGACAAAGGACATTGATTTTAATTTATGGAACCGGGTTTAAATGTTATTAAGGGGTAAGCTATAAAATTTGAGAGGACATCACTAGTCGAGTTCTAGAAGGGCCTACCGGAACTTTGTCCGATTGTCCTGCGGGCCAGTCCGCCACTGATGAAAGGTCAACTAGAATGGTCGAGGAAATGAAAATATAGCGTATATATATATAGAGAGAGAGCTTTAAAACAAACTAGACTATATCCTGAAATTACTGCTGCAGTAGTCTTTAGAGATACTACATCTAGTTACAGAAGATACATAATTTTTTTATTTATATAGTTATGAATATGTCTCAACTTCCAACAATTCGCGTTTCACAGAACTTGCTACTTTTTAAAAAATATTTGCCAAAGTTTTTACTATATCTCTCAACTCACTGGTGAATCATATAGAATTGTTCTTCAAAACCATATGCTATTCTGCTGTAGAACAACTAATACAATGTTGAGTTAACCCTACTAAACATATGATTATCCACTAAGTTCCTTGCATTTCTCTATCTAGACTAATCATATATTCCCTAAACAATAATATTTCACTAAATGTTCATGGCTTTTCAGATCTCAGAATCTTCAGTGAAACTTATGAATAAAATTTACAATTAACTTCTTATCTTAAAGCATAATTTACTCAACTTCCTCAAATCATAATTTTACATTAATTATCACGTTACTGAACATAACAGAAAGAGACATAAGAAATTCCCCCTATTTTAAATATCAGCGAGTGTTGTTAATATTTCTAAGAAATAGCGTGTGGTGTACTCTGGAGTTTTGTAAAGGTACTGTAAGACCTAAGTTAAAATTTATAGCAAATCATTATGTGGAAAGGACCTGTGTACACAGGTTTCAGTTTTGTTTCTTGAATTTCTTACAACAAAGTTACTCTTACTGAATGAGAAACTGGCTCTTATTTTTTAAAGAATCAAATTTTCAATTTCAGTACACGCATTTTCAGTTTGTTTTGTTTGTTTCACAGAAAGCAAGAGAAGACGCAAGAAAAAGTAAAAGTAAAGCTCAGTTCTTTCAACTTATTCAAGATATTCGAAATGTGTAAGTATAAACGAAGTCTGTAACACCTTTTCGCTATATTCATCATGTTCTCCTCGTTAGAAAAATGTTCTGGCAATTTTCCTTCAGCATCGGAGTCAAGACTGTGAGATTAATCTATTATGTCCATGTCAAGATTTTTAACGAAAGTTAGAAATATATAAATATTTTGTTGTTGAGCCATAACGAATATTTTCAGTTCAAAAACGGGAGATCTAGTTTTTTCCTCAAAAAATAATTAAAATAAAGGAGAGAAATATAAAAATTACGATAATCTATAAAGAAAGTTAATGCTCCTTACATGAAGCAAAATAAATAAAATTCTCAAACAAATTTCTCATGGAACACTTAGGGTTCAAAATCAGCTCAAATTTTACATTGTGGGAGAGTCATTCGATATATATATTTCTTTTCACTTAGACCAAATTTAAAGAGAAAACAAACGAATCACCCATCCTAAATCCTTTTGTTGCGTTTTTAATAGACCTTCTCCAACAGTAAGTATTTCTAGCTTCTAAACATCATCACAAAAAAAGGAAACGTAAATAAAAATTAGTGACCCGTACTCACTAACATTTTAATACACCTTGAAATTGTGATAGCTAGGAAATTTAAGATAACAACTATTGTTATTCCAGATTCGGAATCATAATATTTTAGCTAAATACTTACATTGCTGCATTAGCCATTTACGTCAAATAATTCTAATTGGCGTTAAAATTGAATATGAAACGAAACGTCATTCAACACATAAAACACCATTATTATTAGTTCATCTAGGTAGATAGACAAATGATTGAGTGCAAACAAACTTTTATACAGCCATCGCATGATACCACAATATTTTAGTTCAATGTGCGACGTTGGTCATGCTAATTAGTCTTGAAAAAAATACATGTTGATGTAGTTTATTTTTAAAAAACAATATTAATCTGTAAAATTTATTGTATTTTTGGTGGTTTTAAGGGTTCAAGAAGAGCATGAAAAAAGAACGCTAGCTTCGTTTGACAACATTGGAATCGACACCTCAGTTGAGATTAACCCAATCAATCAGATTTTGGAAGACAATTCTTCAGCTGTCCAAAAGAGAAAACGCTTTAGACAAACAGGACTCAGCCCCGCAGAAATGTCAGTAGGAAGCGATTCGATGTGTGATCCTTATTTACCAATGCGAAAAATTCTACTTGATAGTTCTCAAAGTAAATTGCTACACAAGTTTCCTTCCAGTTTCCATTCCCAACAAGAATCAGAGTACGAATCATCCAGCTCATCCTCCAGATCGTCAGTCAGTACAACTTCCGCGTTATCAAGAACCCACAAACGCGTATTCAGTTCTAGTTTTAATGAACTTTTCCCACTCGAAATCCAGAATGATCCTACGGACAAAAAATATTACTATCTACCTACAACTGACGAGCGCGCTTGGTCATTTTCTGACTTAAGAACATTGAAAACAACAGTTTTCAAGACTAATTCGGAAACCTTGGAGAGCGAAATTCCGAAAGAGTGCCATTATTTATCTGGTGCTTTTTCCAGGCGTCAAAAAATCAGTACTAAGTTATGTTCGAAAGAACACGTTGAAGAACTTAAACTTTATTCTATGACAAAAGAAGAAATCATTAATAGATGGAAAGCATCTGAAAATGAACTTCGAAGTATTCTTAAACAAGCTTTACGATATAACAAAGAGCTTGAGGAAAAGCTTAAGTTCTTGCAAAAAACTTCCATCACACTACAGAAATTAAAAAATACAGACATTTGTTTCAAATAAATAAATAACTTGATGTACTTCCTTAAATTGCATATTATAAACACGCGTGCTTCAAATATGTGTCAATTTTCGCCCATAGACGAACAAATACGAACATTACTGTAGAAATCGACACAACTCATCGATTAAGGAGGCCTTTTGGTTGTTTAAAAAAATGTTTAAGAGTTTTTACACTATATGCATAGGACCAAATTTCTTATAGTTGTGAGATTATGCGACTTGTGTGCTTTTAACAGCACACCTATTTAACTTTATATTTCAGATAAAAAAACATCTAGTCTGCTATAGATCTTGTAAAGTAACTTTACTGTAGTTGTTGTATATGCTGAGATTTGTCTTTTAGAAAGACATGAGTATACTATATATATGTTAAACGTATTATGATATGTTTTCGTTAATTTTACGTGGCCGTATAAGTCAAGGCATAAGCTTATTATGTTTGAAAAGAATTTAAAATTGATATTATACATGGAAAACTACTTTCTAACGAGAATAACTTGAAAATGATTATTGCTCGACAAATGGTGATAGAACGTGTTTGATTGATTACTAAAAATATTTCTTTAAAAAGAACCAGCTGAAGCCCAGTTTAGGCAAAATTTGAGTGGGCTGTTGTGCAAAGTTATAATGATATATCATTTTAACATTACCTAGTTATAAAATACCATCACTTTCTTTCTGTAAAATACCATGTGCTAAAAATTCTACCAATTTGAAATTATTAATATGAATAGTTCAAGTGATATAATAACCGTTTATTTTATATCTCTGTATACATTTAAAAAAAAACATACATCCTGTGTTAATTTGTCCTTTGAATTTACTACCGTTAAAACTTAAGTTTTATTAGGTTGGTCTTAAACTTTTTTACGCAGATTAATTAATATAACTCTTGAAAAAATGTTCTTTTTATTCCCAAATTAAAACTAGGTCATGAATTTAAAAAAATAGTTCATGAGTACTTTTTTTTAAGAAATTGAAAACTAATGGTAGAATTTGCTGGCACGATGATGTATGATAAATATTTTAATGGGGTTTCTTTAAAATATAAATCATTGACTATGTTTGAAATTCCAGAACCACTTGTAACAAAATCCTATCTAGACTATTATTCTGCTTGTTTATATGTACGACCGTTACGCTTTCTGACCGAGAACCTGCTGCATAAGCATGCATAGTTAGAATGTTCCCCAAGAAAAACCGCGCATGTGCATTATTCACTCGACGACAAACAGTCTGCCTGCGGGAGAGAGCTGCAAAGCTCAATGGCGAAGTCGCTACAATTACTGTATGAAACAAAAAGTAAAAACAAAAGGGGAATGTAAATATACTTTACTAACCATTTTGTACAACAGAATATTAAAAACTTATCAAAGTTTTAAAAAAGGTTTGACGTTAGGTCGTAGAATAACATTATAAGTTTATTTATCGATAGTATTAAGTACAGTAAAGTTAGTCCTAACTAAACTAAAGTAAAAAGAAAAAAACAAAAACGTACACAGGTTACAGTGTTAATTTAGCTCGTTATCGAACTCAGGCCTAACATGAGTTAAAGTTTTATAAAGTATGGCCTATATACAAGTGGATTTACACATTTCGTTGTCTACGATTACAATTCGTTTGTATTGTGCTGGAAATGTTATATTTAAAGAAGTACTATTACGATAAAGATACTAATTTGGCCAGAAATGTTTTGCGGGTCTCTGCTAGTATATAATAGTAACATTGATAATGGCGAGCTTTTTTCATAAAATATTCCCACTCTCAAGATCATTTTAAAACTACGACAATCTAAATATGCACATACAAAATTGGGAAATGATTTTATTTTATTGATATAACCTAAAATAAGAATTTCCTGGTCGTATAATGATTTATGCATAATTAATAATACAAATTATTTTAATGAAACAAAGAATTTTAGACAATAATTGATCATAAAACAGTTGTTTTAAACGATTATCAATTTATAACATTTCAAGTAACAAATATGCTAGAATAAATAGTGCTTATTATTTAAGTCTTATAAATTATTACAAATAAACTTGTTTTATTGTGAAAGATAAATCGGGAATTGTCCATGTTTTTTTTTTTTGTATTTATTTGTGTTACAAAGAAATCACAAATTTTGAAACTTCCAACTTATATTGATTGATAGATTGATTAGATATAACATAATATGTGTAAGTTTATATACATTTACTGTAATATATACATGTTAATAAATAAAGAAACTAGATAAAAAAATTGAATGTTGTTGAAAACCTCTTTCACTGAAATGCTAGTTTTGCTTTTAAATGAGCATTTAATTCAAAATATGAAGGTTTTACGTTATTTTTAATATAAGCATAACTGCGAGCGCCAGCTTACAATGAATCAACAAGTTGTAATTTGTAAATCATATGAAATAGTCATGGAGATATTAAGTGAACATTTTTATAAAGAGTTCATAAAGGATTAGACAACTACAATTCGTCAATTCAAGTAACATTATTTGCAATGCTCGAATCCCACAAAAAATAAGTTCACGAATGCACTATTAATTTCAACAACAGTGAAAAACTAGCTTAAAATAACATACTTCTATCAATGTTTATTAAGGCAATGAAAATTAAAAAGAAAACGAATGAAACGAAAAATTTGAACAATAAGTTAATGAAATAGAAGATAAGATTTAAAGAAATTGTTTAAAAATAGTTACATTGAAGAACTGTGGTTTCTCTTAGGAAGACATTTTTCAATATTATATCCTCTGTTACAATCGCTGATCAAACTGTGCTGTAAGTAAAAGAGCCAAAAATGAGAAGTATATACAATACAAGTTTTCTATTTGCTTCACAACCTTGGTGAAGCAAATAGCAGATTCGTATTGCATATACATCTAATTTTTGGCTCTTTCATTTAATTAAAAGAATGGGGGTTGTTTATTTATTTACTTGCTCCTTTCACATCCGGTGTTTACAGAGCCTAAAGGGAAGCATAAATTGAATCATAGAAGACAACTATGGAAACTGTTACACGCACAGTAAATCGACAAAAGTACCTCATGCTTCATTCCGTTTTATGCTCAAACAGCGTGTTGGCTGTCGCAACATCTCAGAACGAGGCGACGCTACGACTCGAGCATTGATTATTCAAGTATTAAAGCCTCCACGGGTAAAATCAGCACCTAACTTAAAACAAGAGAATTTTTTTTTATCTCAATACATTCATTCGCCACATTCAAGTGCCCACAATTAGAGAACTCCAATGCTATATCAACTGATATACTGTTGGACTATTTTACCCCTCCCCTACCCCCAGTGGCATAGCGGAATGTCTGCGGATTTATAACGGTATAATC